GGCGTTTACAGTCAATTAATCAATTTACAAGCTTTAATTTGCACACCGTGCTTATAATTTAAGGCACAATCAAATTCAATCAAAAACAACGAACATCAACAAGATTTCTCCTTTCCTTTTCGAATAGTTCCAAAAATCATGCCCGTTTCGAAATGGAAACCAAATTTCAAAGTCAAAATTTCTTACGCTGCTCAGAAAATATTCAGGCCATTTCTGTAATCACAAACGGCTGTACTAACCGGAAGCAGTTGAGCTGGGCTGCCTGGTGGTGGTGATACTCAGACCAGCCGCCAAACCCTAGGAAATCGGCGGCTCTGCGGCGCTGACGGTGTGGAACAAAAACTAGATGTTGAAACGACAACAGTGCAACCTCAAATCAGAGTCACTGGATATGTTGCAAAGGTTTACTAGGAAAAAACTAACCAGGGAGAGTGGAAGCTTTGGAACTCCATGGCTGAACTAAACTATGGCGGTGGTGGTGATGTGTGAATGTGTGATGTAAAAAGTAAAACACACATTGTCGTTCTACATGGGCCTCCTTAGTGGTGGTTTTTATATGGGCCTAGTATCAGTGGGCCTTATTTTTAGTCCATATCCACACTGTTCACCTCTATCTTCTTTGCAGCCCAGCTCTAAACCCTGTCCTTTTCTTGTTATTTGATTTGATTCATCATTTCTCTTAAATCGTCAAATTCAGTGACAACTCAGTCTCAGAAAACTCATCCGTTTGTGTGTGTGTGTGTGTGAGAGAGAGAGAGAGAGAGTCAGAGAGAGAGAGAGAGATGGGGAGGGTATTTGTGGTGGATCTTGAAGGAAGAAGCTACAGATGCAAATTCTGCAAAACTGATTTAGCTCTTTTTGATGAGCTTGTGTCCCGGGTTAGATTTATTTATTTATCTTTTTTTTCGGTCATTTATCATTTTAAAGACTTATTTTTTCTCATTAATTTTCAACTGATGATTTTGTTTATCATTTATAGTTCATTTGTTTTCCATCTAAAAATCGATTCTTGCAAAAGTTGCAGTACTTGAATCTGTGCTGGGGTTGGTTTCTTAAGTTGCCTTTGGACTTTACAAATACCAGTCTCTTTTCTAGGATAGAAGTTATTAAGCATAGTTCATTTCTCAGAGTAAGTAGATTTTTCAAACACTTTTGGGACCAAAACTGTCAGCTGAATTTACTGTTAGAGTTTTCACTAAGTTGTGTATGTGGCAGCCTAACCGAAATGTATATGTATGCTATGAAATGTCATATTTTTGTATATGTTGGTTCTTAGATTAAGACATTTCAACTTGAAAGTAAGCATATTTATCGAAAAAGGTCGATTTTTAGTTCTGATATTTCAGCTTGAGGCTTTAATTTGTTGGGAACTTGTTAGTTTTTAGCTTGCTATTGCCACTGCTGCTTTATTAATAGTATGGTTGCTCGTACTTCTCAGGCATTTCATTGTCGTAGGGGGAAAGCATACTTGTTTAGTAATGTGTAAGTCCTCAATGGCCCTGCTTAAATTCTTCGTATTTCGTTTGCTCTGAAGCTGATGAAGGATGGGAAGCTTTATTAAGGGGAAAAAAAAAAAATCAGTACTCAGTAGACTCGAAGACTAATGGGGCTAAGTTTTTTGGTTGATTCTTGATTTTTTTTAAGTTTTTTATCTACTAATGATGCTAAGTCTTTTGGGTCATCCTTGTCTTTTTTTTTTTTTTTTTTT